ATACATCTAACAGACGTCATGAATTTAGGGCAGACCTTTTACATCATAGGAAATGAAGCGATATATTTGTGTGTGAATCTCTATCTCTCTCTCTCTATCTCTCTGCATATATATATGTGTGTGTGTGTGTGTATGTGTGTGTGTGTGTATGTGTGTGTGTGTGTGTGTGTGGTGTACACGAAAGCACAACATACATGCCCCTTGCCTTTTGGCTCCTCATGATCGCTGCCACTTATGGTTAAGGAAGGGAGGTTCTGACGAGCGCGAGTGGTGGGAGGTCGCTCCGACAGTATCGTGTGTGACAAGGTCTATATAGATCTTGGTATGTATGAACGAGCCTCGCTTCGGGTGACTCCGAGCGCGAAGATGCCGCCTGAAGGAGCTCCCTCCTCTGCTCGGCGATGCAGTGAGCACGCCAATCCTTCTCTTCGCCATTATGCAAATTAGGCCGCTTAGGCTAGCGCAGGCGATGTGCCCGGATAATGGAAGGGAAGTGTTTGATTATGTGTAATTATAGTGAAGAGACAGGCCTGATGTCGGAAGCGATCTTTGGCCTCATCCTCGGCTTTTTGGTTGGCTCAGCACTCACATTCGCGCGCGTGTATTTGCATATACACAATTGTTAATTCATAAATTATATTCATGCACTCACACAAACAGATAGCTTAGTAGACAGACAGAATACAAAGGAAGCACTGGTGAAAGATTGCATGTTCTAATTCGTGAAAAGTGACGACAACACATTACTTAGTCGCAATCGTAGTAGCTAGTTGCAATAGTCTTCCACAAGAAACGCAACAATTTTTTTCCAAAATGTCTTTAAAATGGCGAGGAAACGGAAATTTGAAAATCATTTGGCAGATTTGGTTTAGATGAAAGAGAATAAAGTCTTTCATCTATAAACAGAAAAACCAAATACATCTAACAGACGTCATGAATTTAGGGCAGACCTTTTACCACAGGAGATGCAGTTAATGACAGCGGATGGTTCTTCTTGCTCTTCAACAACTGTCTCTTCCTCCTCTGTGTCTGTGACCTCATTGACAACACCTAGTGCCTCTGCAAGCTGCTCCTCTGTCTGCATACCGTCCAGGACTTGGTCCAGGACTTGCGTCAACACCAAGACGAGCCATCTGTCCATACATAGCCTCATATGGTGTCCTTCCAATTCCGGAGTGAAAGCGGGTATTTTTCTTCCTCTGGACAAAGTGCAGTCCCTCTGGCCACATCATCAGAACTTCCTTGCCAAGCTGAAAATTAAAAAGCGAATATCAGGTTTTGTCATATACACGGTGATCCATTAACCCCAATGTTGCTGTTTTAGAGAAAGAGAGAGAGAGATTTACAGAAATCTTTTATTCTATACCCTATTTGAGAATTCTCTTCCATTGTCAGACTGCAGGATATGGGGGGCTCCTTTGTCACAGATTATATCAACAAGGTGGAAAGCAACCTCTTCAGCAGTTTTCGTCTGTAGAGCCCGAAGACACCCCATCTTCGTCAAGTGATCCTGATAGTTCAGAATGAAACGATGTTTTCCATCTGGCTGCTTCTGCATATCGATTAAGTCGACCTAAAAATAGACAGAACATCAAAAAAAGATTATGTAATATTTTAAAATGTTAATAAATTTGCTATTGTCAACAAAGGCAAAGGTATTAAAGATTCCCCTATGACAATAAGTCATGACAATAATGAAATTACTATCAAAAGGCTTAACCAGTGCATGTTTACTAACCTGAGCTCGTGAGTTCATGCTGTTCGGTACAGTTGGGTTCACAGTCACAGACGAGTATAGTGCTTTTTTCAGATGAAGCTCCTCAGAGAACTGTAAATATAACTCAATTTGGGATCTTGAAACATTGGCATATTTTTCACTTGTTTCCCTAAAGATAATAGTTCTACCTCTATGTTCACTTGCACGATGAATAGCAAAGATCACATCGAACACATCTTCACTGCATACAAATCTAAGTTGAGTTCCCTTTTTTTGCAATTCCTTAACTTTGATACCTTCAACTGTGACCTCAACAATTTCATACTTCTGTAACAAACAATAGTCTTTCTGAGTCTTTATAATGTTAGCACATTTAAGTTCATCCAAGTGATTCAGAATTTGTTTATATTCATTTCTGTATATAAAAAAAAGTATTTGATGCTTTCTATTCCTCAGCCGTGGAAAATAAGTTTTTTCTATTTTCCATTGTTCAAATTTCCAGAGTATAGTAAAATGCACACTATACAATATGCGACCACGTGGATGCTTACACCACGCCAAGCCGCCCAGCGAAGCGTCCCCAAGCCGCTTGCTACCTAGCCTCGTCTCGTCTCCCGCCTCGGATACTGGGCTCGCCAGTGACCCCGGGCGACCCTCCAGCCGACCGCCCAATACCCAAGTGTCATATTGTGTTTCAACTCCCTGTGCTTGCTAGCTCTATCAATAAAAGAGTTTTAAGCCACTAAGCTTTTAATACTCACTGTCACCAATGTTTAGAGGTCCTTTATATTACTCTTACAAGTGGTAGCAAGCGGCGTGGGGACGCTTCGCTGGGCGGCTTGGCGTAGTGTAAGCTTCCACATGGTCGCATACAGTATATTGTATATGCAATATACTGTATGCGACCACGTGGATGCATACAGTATATTGTATACACACAAAGTACTGAAAGTAACACTACGTAGGTCGGCTTCTCCTGTCTTTCAGCAATGCCTTACTGACAACGGTCTCATTGTGGTGTCTCACCAGGGAAGCGAGTAAATGAACCAATATTATAAGATATGATTTACAGAAGTGAATAACAAGCCAGTAAATGAACCAATATCATAATGATGATTTACAGGAGAGAATGGCACCGAGGCCAGCAGAGATTGAGTGAAGACTAACAACGGTGTTATGATGAATTCAGGGGGAAATCCAGCTGTGGGCTAAATATGTGTGTGTGTGACGATTAGCTGAACCTAAAATAAGGACAATTAAGCATACTCATTGGTTATGTACTGTAACGGTAATGTTTTATCATTCCCTCACTGTTTTTTTCCATCTGGCTGGTTGCTGTATGGACATTTTGTAAATTGACCAATGATAATACCGTTTATTTTGTAAACTGACCAACTGACTTGGTCGTTTTGCAAAATGTTGAGAAATTTAGGTAATTTTGCAATGTGACCACGAATTTGGTATTTTGCATAATGGTCGGTAATTTTGTAAAATGAATAATTTTGCAAAATGGCCATAACATATATATGCATATGTATGAATCTATCTCTCTCTATATGTATATATGAAAGACATATATGTATATATGCGTGCATTTGTAATATTTGCATTGTGGGTTTTTCTACCATAATATCAACACAGAAGAGTGTTTTACCATTCATGGACCCTACGGTTAAAAGAAATTTCTCTTTCCTGTTTGCCTTCTTCCCAGACATGGTACTTGCTTTTCGTGCTTATCAGGATTCTGTTATCACCACTGCCCGATGAAAGAGCCAACGTCCGAGCAAGCGTCCACGAAACATTCCTTCCCACCTCAGCACATCTTGGCAGATCTGATCGACTTGCTTCAGCCATGAGTTCCGTGGCCTTCCCCTTGGTCTTCTCCAGGCCGGGTCAACCCTCTCGGAGATAACCCTATAAGCCGGATCTTCCTAAGGAAAATGAGCCATATGCCCATAGAGCTGAAGTTGGCTCTCTCATATCAGACTGGTAATAGGTCTTGAATCAGTCTCATGGAGTATCCTCTGATTCGACAGATGGTCCCTCCTGGTATACTCCATGATTCTGTGAAGACACTTGGTACCAAAGGAGTCAAGACAGGCCTTCAGAGCACTGTTCAGTGTCCAGGTCTCACACCCATAGACTAAGACCAGGATCACCAGTATTCTGAAGATCCTGATCTTAATCCTCCTAGTCAAATACCAACAGCGCCAAATACTCCCATTGAATGAGTCTATAACACCATAGGCCAGACCGAATCATCGAGTGACTTCCCGGTCGCAACCTTTGTCACTCTGCAGTACACTACCAATTTAAGTGAAGCTATCCAAGACCTATAGGCATAGGCATGCGCAGACTGAACATCGCCATCCAATAAGTCCCCAAATTCATGAACCTTGGTCGTGGTCCAGTTGACCAAGAGTCCCAACTGCTTCACGACCATGCAGCGCCTTGGGAGCTACTTCCAGGACCTCCAGTGTCTCTGCTAGAATCACTGCATCATCGACAAAGTCAAGGTCTGTGACCTTGAAATTACCAATTGATGCCCCACAGGAACTACGGTCCACAGCACACCCTAGTATCCAGTCCATATAAGTATTGAAAAGGGAAAAGGCAGAGATGCCCTCCCCACATTTGACAGCACTCTCAGTATCTGTATACAGGCCAGACAGCAAATCAATAATCCCAGGGGAGATCCCACGCAGAACCAGTAGGCTCCAGAGACTCTCCCGGTGCACTGAGTCGAAAGCCTTCTTGAGATCAACATAAGCTGCAAGCATACCTTGTTGAAACTCAAGTTGGCATTCCACATGGACTTGAAGTGCTAAGACACGGTCTACAGTTGGCTTCATGGGTGTAAAACCAGACTGCTCGGGTCTCTGTGCTCGTAAAAGGTGGTCGCATACTTGTGCCAAAAATAGATGAGCGAAGACCTTGCCTTGTACACAGAGCAATGTAATGCCTGTGTATTTGCCACAGTCCAAGTCCCTTTGGTCCCCATTCCCTCTCCAGATAGGGATGACAGCCCCTTTTCCAGTCAGGAGGAATGGTGCCAGTGTCCCAAATGGCAGACAGGACGGTATGCAAGCCACAGATCATGCCTTCTCCACCCACCTTCAACAGCTCCGCAGCAGACACCAGCAGCCTTTCCACTCTTCAGTGTAGAGACTGCCCTTCTCACCTCTTCAATGGAAGGCGATGCCTTACTGATTGGTGGATCAGCCACTAGTGGCTGTGTGCCAGCCCTGGGAGTTGTGAAGATGAGGGATCTACCCTATACAGT